TGGAGTCCTGGTGTGGTGTTGTAGAATAGGCACTGGACTACTAACCGAAAGGTCAGTGGTTCAAACCCACTAGCTGCTCCTTGGAAACCCTATGCAGGGTCACTGTGAATCATAACAGGGTCAACAGCACTTAATAACAACAACAATAATAGCTGTGTATCCTGGTATTAGGATTCCACAGCTATTATTGTTCTTGTTAGGTGTCAATTTGCTTCTGATCCATAGCAACCCTGTGTACAACAGAACGAAACACTACCTGGTCCTGCATCATCCTCACAGTTTTCTGGAGACCCTGTGGGTTAATATGCTGGATTGCAAAGTCTGTTTGAACCGAAAGGTTGGAGGTGCACATTCACCAGCTGCTCCTCAGAAACTCTATACAGGGCAGCTATGAGCCAGAACTGAATTGAAGGCATTTAACAACAACATTCTGGTATTACTTGTTCTCAAAAATCTTAGAAGTCATATCCATTTATTTCTGCAAGGCTGGCTGATATTTTACTTTCTAGTATGTGTTATAACTTTGGAATCTCCCTTATTCCTGATATGCTGATTATTTTCTCCATAAGAGAGCATGTGTCAAAAGCTTCATTTATTTTCTAATTTCTCTTGTATTGTTTAGTATACCTTGCAAATACATTTAGTATGTGTGTGTTTAAGGGTTTTTGTTTTTAATATTTTCTTAATTTTTCCTGATAGAGTGAACAACAACAACAAAAAGTTTAAAAATGCCCATAGCCCCACCATAAGTAGGATATAAAGCTGTATCAGAACATTTTCAGCAGCATCTGAATTTCTCCTTCTGTCCCCCAGAGTCCATGTCAGACGTACAGACAAAGTAGGAACAGAAGCGGCCTTCCATCCCATCGAGGAGTACATGGTGCATGTTGAAGAACATTTTCAACTTCTTGCACACAGGATGCAAGTAGACAAAAAAAGAGTATATTTGGCCACAGATGATCCCTCTTTGTTAAAGGAGGCAAAAACAAAGTAAGTTAAACCAGATAATGATTCTTGAGTGGGATATTCTTTGTTAGTTGAAAACTATTCTTAATCTTATGATTTATGATTCTTGTTATTGAGTTTTTAATTCATATGATTATGTATTTCTGAAATTAATTAATCAAAGCATTTGTATTTGGCATATCTGGTAATGCCTTATAGCCAAAAAGTTTTAAATGAACTCAACCACTGACTTACGTATCATCACAAGTCATCATCATCATTAAAAATGTTTGCTGACTGTTATAGATAAAATGTACCAGGTGCTTACTCTTCTGATCTCAGTATCTTCACTCATAATTATGGGCAACTGAACATATATGTAAGAAAAAGAATTTTTGTCTTATCAATGTATACGAAATAAAGGTAAAGAATCCAAAGGTGAATTCTGTTAGTGGAGGAATAAGGACTATTAATATGTATTGTGTAGTAACTATCATTTATGAAGCCTATCTATGTGTCAGACACTGTGTTAAGTATTGGGGTTTCTACAATAGCCAGGACCATCCCTGCTTTCAAGGAACTCCAAATATAATGGGGAACAGACAATTACACAGTAGTGTGAGTAGTGCTATTAGAGCATTTAATATTTGGTATTGTAAAACACATTGGCAAAGTGGTGATCTTAATTGGAATTTCTCAGCCTACTATCTGGTGAACCTGTTTTGTTAAGTGCAGTCAAGTTAGATCCAACCCATAGCAGCCCTATGCATAGCAGAATAAAACACAGCCTGGTCCTGTACCAGGATCACAACTGTTGGTATGTTTGAGTCTATTGTTAACAGCCACTGTGTCAATCTGTCTCAGGGTCTTCCTCTTTTTCTCCAGCCCTCTTCTTTACCAAGCATGATGTCCTTTTGCAAGGACTGGTCCCCTCTGATAACATATCTAATGTAGTGGAAATGAAGTCTGGACATCCTGCTCCTAAGGGGCATTCTGGCCATACTTCTTTGTTTCTCTTTAACTTTTTTATTGTGAATAGGGTGAAGGTTTACAGAGATCTTCAGTTTTACAATCAACAAATCACACTTTGTTTTGTCTCGATGATTGCAATCCCCTCCATGCAACAACAGTTATCTCACTTCCTCCCTGTGGTTCCTATTTCCATTCCACCTGCCTTCCCATCCCTTCTCAACTTTGTCTTTAGGTAAATGTTGCCCTTTTGATCTTGAGTGATTGATCATTCTATGATGAGTATGCCTTACTAGTGTTGTCCCCATGTATACTTACTTAACTGCTTGGCTGAAAATTGGATCACAAGGGTGAATTACTTTCCAGACTTGCAGGGTGGTCAAGATCCATAGTCTCAGGTTTCTCCAGTTTCTTTCTCCTCAGGAAGCCTGATCTTTTTTTTTTTCTTAATTGTGAACTGAGTTACAGTTTACGTGGGAGAACATCGGCTTTACACCATCATTTTATTGCAATGATTACAATCTCCTCCGTGCATCATCATTCAACAGCATTTGCTTCCGTTCCCTCTCTTTTTTTTGGGGGGTTGGGGGGATGGCGGTGGAGTGGGGTGGAGAGATGTACACAAAAAATCACTCAGGAATATATAATAATTTAAACAACCAAAAGGCACTTTCTGAAAGCCTACCACCTGGCTGCCAGCACCCAGTCCCTCTCTTTCCATGGGTCTAGAGTCTTCAGCTGCTCTCTCTCTCCATGTCCTTATCTCTG